TAATCAAAACTATTCCTCCTAGTACTCTCAATCTCAATTTCTCAACTCTCAAAATGGAAAATGGCACAATCCAGATTTTTTCTGCTTACTCTCTCCTTAACCTCTGACTTCAACGTACCATTTCACTTAAAGAGGTCATTACTAAACAGCAACGTTAAATGAAATGGATTTTCTCACCCCTCAATCCTTATCATCATGCATCCTGTTATGGATTTTTACATTGTTAGTGAATACCATTTTACAAAATCTTTCTTCCTTGCTTTCTAGAGGTGCGCCTCCGTCTCCTTCCGGTAGGACTATTTAAGGATGCCCTCAACTCTGCTCTGTACTCACTCTTGGAAGGTCCGTAACATTTCACAGTTCCACCTAGTTCATGTTCAAGTTAGCGATTTCTGATATGAGACCAAATCCTGGTTCTACCACTTCTTGGCTGCAAAATCTTGGCCCTAACACATAACCTCTGTATAATGCCTCAGCTTTCTTATCTGTAAAATGGGTATAAGAGTAGAAATGTTGTAGGGAGTAAATGTAAAGCATCTAGCAGAGTTAGCCAGCATGCGTTAGATGCTCAATATGTGGTACTTATTACCAGGTTTGGTATTCTGCTGCCATTTTACACTCTTTTTTTATGAAAGCTAAACTCATTATTTCTCCCTCTAAACTTATATCCTTTATAAGTTTTTAAATCAGATAAATGATACCAATGATTTTTCACTTTACCACAAACCCTTGGGATCATCTCTAATCTTTCCACAGGAACCTGGTACTCTGTATCAGCTCTCAAAAGTGCCCTTCATTTTTGGTTCTGTAATTTAAGTCCACCTTATTATTTATTAAATATTTATAGGCTCTACCCCCAACACTGGATTCTACATGGCTTTGTATAACCAGTTATCCCAAGAGCATGTCACCTACTAATTCAAAACAAACAAAAATTTCTCCTGTATCAACCCCAGCCACAGGAAAGGAAATACATGAATCGGCATTTCCCTGTCCTAGAATCAGTTAGCATTGCCCGCCAACCTCTCAAACAGGTTGCACAATCTATCATCTCCAGTTCTAATCACATCTCCCTATGTCACTGCATTCCATTTTCCCTGCTTTAAGGATGACCTCTTTGAGCTTCTGAAAAGAAAAGTATGCAGTAAAACATGCCTCCCCTCTCATAAGTACTTGAAAGCAGACATGCAAATAAAAAGAAAATCAGCACTGCATATCTGGAGAGCAAAGGTCCAAACCAGAACCTAAGTAGTCCTGAGGTATCATAAGTAGCCTAACACTTAATATATGAATTTTCATATATAAAACTCCAATGTGCGTGTGTATATATATACATATATATATATATATATATATATATATATATATATATATATGTATACACACACAATAAACAGAAGCTGTGGAAAAGAGTACAGTTGCATTTTTCTTTTCAATTAGGCAGCATTTCAGTAAATTAAGAAATATGGTCTTTGGCCTGGAATAGCCCAACATCATATTGTGTTCACAAAAGACAAGATACATTTGTTTATAAACATGACCTCTAAATTTCTTGCAATAGGACCCAGATTAAAACAGTAACTTTCTTTCATATTTGCTCAAATATATAATGTCCTAGGAATTATTTAATTATATATACACCCATGGCCAACCCTCTCCAAAAGATGGCAAATTTATGCATAAGTGATCGCACATACCTATGCACACATAATCACACAGACCTGATTTATACATTTTATAAGCATTTCCCTAAATTTGTAAAAGCTATGCAAAATATACAGGCATGATCATTTTACATATAATGGATACAACAGGGAAGATGATACCCATTTTTAACTATAACATGAGATTTCATAGTAATCCATTTGATTGATTCTAAAGGATAAATCTTAGAAGCATCAAATTCTCTACTTTTGGATAATGGGGTAAAGATTTGAAGGTCTGATTCTAGCTGAAAAAAAGGATATATCTATAACAAGTCTAATGACTAAACAGCTGCAGATTCTAAAAAGAGTTTTATATTACTCTGAGTTAGGCACTAATTTATGCTTTACATTTTCCACCCAGCAGTATCTTTTTAGATGCATGAAAGGAAAAAGCAACAATACTTCGAGCTAGTCTGCAAATCTCTCATTTAGTGAAGGGTCGTAAAAAGAGATACTTTTTAGATGCAGTGTCATTTGCAGAAACCTCTTGGGTTATTTTTTTAAGTATCTATTACTCTTTAGACCATAGCCATACAAAAGAAAGAAAACTATGGTTTAGTCATCCTTATAACTAAGTGCCCTAGGAATCAGAGGTCACATTTAGAGTTGGGTTCCCAAGAGCAGACATACCTATCTATCCTCATGTACTTTCACTCTGGGCCCATCTTGCTGGCACTAACAGTGTGTATTATGAGAACCAGGTACAGGTAACAAGCGTTTCTTCACAAATGAGTAAACCAGACACATGGGAAGGTAAAAACATGTATTAGTTGAATATATTCAATTAATAAAGTTTATTTTTACATAAAAGGCAGAAAGAGAGCTTAGATAAGGTTACAAAAAGCATAGGGGGAACAGTCACAGGAAGAAGTGTGACAAGACTGAGAGAAAACACTGTTAGAAGACTTGCATTATGTATCAGAAATCTTTCAATTTTAAAACTCAAAGATTAAAATTAAGAACTAAAGCTTCCATTAGCTATGCCGTATCAACAGAGCCAAGGTATAAGAGGAAGTATTATGTTCATGAAAGAGTCAAATTTAACTTGGAAACGAACAACCTATTTCCCTTGAGTAGTATCCACCAAGGAATTTTATTTTTTTGAAGCTTCAGAAATTTACTATAACTCAAGGCAACTCATTACCGGTATAGAAATTCATTAGAGAGCTTTCCACTTGTTTAATTTCCAACTGCAGTAATATTTCTTAATGAGGTATTCAAGGTGCTAAATTTATTTTGATTACATTTATTATTTTAAATTCTTAATCATCCTGAATCAAAAACCACAGTATTCCACCCATTTTTTTGAGGATTTACTGGCAGACATCTTCAGATAACTATTACCAACATAAGATACTTTGAACACTCAATTTCAAGAATAGAAAATTCACTGAACCAAATTAAGAGACTTATGATCTAAATCCCAAATGTACATCAACTGCCATGAAGACGTAAATCTAAAACATACGATTTTGTACAACAGGAAAGAAAAAATAAACATAAAAATGGTATCCTCTTTATTTACACATATATACACATACATATATGTTATGATAAATAGATTTGAGGATTTAATTAAATGAGTTGGACTAAATTGTTAAGCTCATCTCAGACATAAATTAAACCATTAGAAAATACCACAAAAAACTTTAACCTTTGGTCTTAACAAAATTATATACATAATAGCAAGAGGCCAGATTTTAATACTCAGACTAAGTATATCATGACAGAAAAATATTTAACCTAACATTTAAAATTGTTACAGCTTCATCAACACTTGCCATGTTAAAGTTAGTCTCTGAGTAAAACACACTTACCTCTGAGCAACAGCTGTGGGAAACTTGAAATAACTTCCCTGAATAATTGGTGATTAGTGTAACAAATATATCATAAGATCCATCACAAGGTTTTACAAGTGTGATCAACTACAACCAGTAATGATAATCATGTACTATTATCCAAAGCCCTATTTCATACCAAACACCAATCCACTACCTTTCAAAATCTGGATTCAGATCCATCAAGCAATCTAAGTTACTGGCTCCATGCAAAAAATACTGACTGAATACTCCTTCTTGCTCTTAAGTGCTTCAACATAAATCTGTCACTGCATTGATTTCTTCTCTGTCACCTTTTCTCTCTTCCCATTAGGAATCTTTTCACCTATACACATAGCTCAACTGAGAAAAAAATACCATATGACCACAAATAACTAATGACTACCTAATCATGATAGAGCTTGTCCAAAAGTACTCTCCCTTTTCTGGGTTTACATGTTCATTCCACTTTATTAAGCATCATTACCATAGCCAACAGTTTTAATTATATGCCCACATGCACAGAACAATACGTTCATTTCTAAACAGTTAAACATATACAGTATTTTCTTTTTAAAAACCATGTACTTGCCTTGTGTCTGCATTTAAGCACAACTCCATAGGCTCCTATAATAAAAAGAAATAAACAATTAGGGGCACATATACAAACTATAGCTCTTAGAGAAATAAAAGTTCTATTATATTTACATTGGTTATCAGTAAAATGTTATACTATCTTGTTATAATAATGAACGCTAAAATGATAGTACTCTGCAGAAATTATGCTATGAGCCACATACAGAGAATGGATATTTATGTTTTTTTATAAAACAAGAGTATAAGCAACCCATTTTCCCAACAAGTATTCTTAAATTGTTTCTCTCTTTTTAAAAAATTGTTATTTTGAGACAGAGAGCACGCAAGTAAGGGAGGGGCAGAGAAAGAGAGAGGCAGAGAGAGAGAATCCCAAGCAGGCTCCACACTATCAGTGCAGAGCCTGATGTGGGGCTCAAACTCACAGACCATGAGATCATGACCTGAGCCGAAATCGATGTTTAACTGACTAAGCCACCCAGATGCCCCTGAATGTTTCTCTTTTTAAAGAACATTTCACTTGAGACATTTTAATTTAAGCTTAAAAGTTCTGGAGACAAGATGTGGACCTAAGAACTTTAAGAGTAAAGGAAAATTAATGCAAAAGATTCTAGAAAACTTAAAATTTAAAAGCTAATGACCTCAGTCCTAAGAGACATTTAAATCCTCTTCTAGGATACCTGAATGTCTTTCCTGACTGGCAAAATAGTATAGGCTTAAACATTCCAATTAATAACTAGTAGGAATTGCTACAGTTTTGCCATAAATCAAAACTCAGTACAAGGACACAGACCACAAGCAGTCCAAGGCTTTTTGGCCATTTATAGTCATGGACTTCTACTTTCTTCGGTATATTTTGATGAGATTCATGACTACCTTTTGGGTTATTCATCCTCTTTTCTAGCCAAAAAAACTACTTCCTCACAGGCAGAACAGAGTCAACAGCAAGGTACCCAAGAAACTGAGGTTAGAGTTATATTGTGACAACCTAATTAGTAAAATCAACATGTAATGTATGATACTTGAGGTGTGTATAAATGTCAATAACATTAAAAGACAGGCAAAGCCTGCACACATCTATGACAAAGGGACTTAAGAGAGATGTAATTGGGAAATGTGTCTTGAACAGAATCTAGGGAACGAGAACAAGTTTCCCTCACTTTGGTAGAGATGGATGAATCATATTATCAGAGTCAGGATGGAATCAGCTACTACAACCATCCAACTTAATTCCACCATCACCAGGCAATCCTTTAATCCAGATTTAACTGCCCATGCCATTTCACTACAGAGTGAAAATGCACTGGGTAGGCTACAGGAATATAGAGTTTACTAGACAGTTTTTAATTTACTTAATATATATGTATTTCTTAGCCACTCCAGATCTTAAAGCAAGCACCCAATGATCAGACTGTATTTTGTTTCTATTTATTTGAAAAGGATTTAACTTACTATCTAGAACAGCTTTATTGTTCACATAGGTAAATCATTAAAACTTCTTTTAACATTCACAATTTATTTGAAAATTCATAAGATATAAAATTTTTATAACATTTACTTTAAAGATATAAATGCTAAGAAACCATAATTATAATCACTCATACCCTATTAAAAGAATCATTTCTCAAAATCCCCATAAAGTTATCTTTAAGTCAAAAGCAAAAATTACTAAGAAGGAAAACTCAGGAAGACTTATGAAAAATGAATTACCATATTTCATCAAATTAATGATGTCACTGATCATAAGCATTTTATGTACTAGTGGGGGGGGGGGAAGTGCTACCAATTAAACCATGACATGCTATAAATTATAACACACATCCTGATTTCAGAGATGTTAAAATCTGATCAAGTTGTAAGCCTCAGAACTTATAAAAAATGTGGTTTACCATTCTCAAAGACAAATAGAGAACAAATAGATAAGTTATTCATTTATTTACTGTGTATTTAGTAAAATGTAACTTCTAGAAATAAATTTTAAATTATTCAAAATAAGACTGATATAAAAATAAAATGTAACAAAAAACTATAAAGAAACCATAATTGCTAATTAACACAATGAAATGAAGGCAGCCTTAAGAAATCTCTAATTTGGGGCGCCTGGGTGGCTCAGTCGGTTAAGTACCCAACTCTGGATCTCAGCTTAGGTCATGATCTCAGTTTGTGAGTTGAGTCCCAAGTCTGCTCTGCACTGACAGCAGGAAGCCTGCTTGGGATTCTGTCACTCCCTGTCTTTTTGCCCCTCCCCTGCTTGCTCTCTTTCTCTCTAAATAAATAAATAAATAAATAAATAAATAAATAAATTTTTAAAAAGAAAAAGAAAAAGAAAGAAATCTGATTCATTAAATTTTAAAAGGTTTTAAAATGTTATTAACTTTCAATTGGAGAGTAAAACCCAAATAGTTTAAGCACAATTTTATTTTTTATATTTTACTCAAACACATATCTCAATAAATATAGGTAAAATTAATAGGATCTGAAGTAGTAACTTTTGTAGTGGTAGGTATAACTACATACATTAATCACAAACTCAAGGAATGCTAAACTTACCTTCACCTACAACCCCAAGGATCTCAAATTTATTCATCACATTACCAATGTTAGGAATCTTCATGAAGACAAACTCCTCTTTTGATGCAAGCCACAAAACATGGCATGAAAAAAGAACTGAGAAAGTTGTGCAGTAAATAGAAAATGTTGAAGGAAGAAATTCTCACAGGTTGGCAGGAACTTTCACATTTTGTTGTAATGTGAAGTATTAAATGATTCCCTGAAAGAAAAAACACAAAAGCCCTAAATTTTATATTCAGCACTCTAATAATTTATCCTTTGTGTACATTTTTTAAAAATCATGTTAATGTTTCATATACTAAAAAAAAAGAAGAAAAATAATAATAAGAGAGAAGAACCCAAAATGGAACAAAAACAAATGTACCTAACTGTATTTGAAATGAGTAACATAACCACTCTGCAAAGGGGTCAAGGGAAACAGAAACGACTCCAGGTAACTTCTAAAAACAATGTTTTGGGGTGCCTGGGTGGCTTAGTCTTTTAAGCTTCCGACTTCAGCTCCGATCATGATCTCACATGATCTCACAGTTCCATGGGTTCGAGCCCCACATCGGGCTGTGTGCTGACAGCTCAGAGCCTGGAACCAGCTTCAGATTCTGTCTCCCTCTCTCTCTACCCCTCCCTTGCTCGTGCTCTGCCTCTCCCTCTCTCTCAAAAATGCATAAACATTTAAAAAAAAATTTTAAACCAATGTTTTAACTACATACTCTCTTTAAGCCATAAACAAAAAATTTTTTTCTAAACATATACTTAGATATTTGCTTTTACACAAAGATATGAAAACTCTTTATGCGTATTCTTGGATTGAGCAAATAAGTAAATAAATACATTGTGGATGATGAGTTTGGTTTCTTATTCTCATAAAACGAAGTTACAAATGGGAAAAGGGTGAAGGCTTGGAATTAGAGCTAAACATATCAGCTCAGTTCTCAATACATAGATGCAGAAATAGATATAACTGTGTATGGAAATATATATAGACATATACATATATTCCCTAGTTCTATCTGCTGAGGGGGCCTAGAAGCAATGACACTCCAACATTCATGGGCACAGCCAGTGCACCAATGAAAGGAACCAGGGTTCCTCAGAGAAACGGCTGATTCCCAGGCAAGAGCAAGGAAAAGTACACTATGGGACCAGGATATATTTTTGTGGTGCCAGAAAAGAAGGTAATGCTCAAAGAATGATGGGGGCATGTCTAAAGGACACAGGAGTCAACTTGAGTCACTTCTGTTCAAATGAGAAACATCTCAACAGCAAAATTAATAAAAATAGATTATAATCCACAGAATAAAATAAAAACACACCAGTCCTTACTTACATAAATAAATGAAGGGAGAAGGAAAAGCTCTGAGAGTATAATTCCAAATAATAAATGTAGTGATGGAATTAGAAAATCACCATTTGGCAACCACCTTGGTAATAATTATTTCAGGCAAGTATCATCAACATATGCTGAAACTAGTGGTTGAAAGTCTGATGGAAAACAGGATATTATCTAGTCTCAAAGTAGCTCCACTACAAAATACCCGTTAATTAAAAGGGGAAAAATAGTAATTTCATAGTGTAGAATTCTGTCAGACACCACCTTAATTAAATGATCAAAGTTAACATCATCAATAATAGGACAAGCCAACATCATATGCCTCCTGATAGGATGCAATAAAACACTTCTGTGGCATTCCTTCCAAAAAGGTAAAACCTGAATCTAACCATAGGCCGCAACAGACAAGCCCAAACTGAGGGACATCCTACTAAGTAACTGGACTATATTCTTTACAAAATGTCTAGGTTATAAAGGACAGGGAACCAAGTAACTGTTAAAAGAAGCTTAGGAGACATGATAATTAAATATAATGTATGATCCCGGACTGGACTGAAACCTGGAGAAGAAAAAATTTTTTTTTGCTATAAACTATTATGAGTGATGTACAACATGTGACTGTAGTTAATAATTGCTTATTGTCTATTTGAAAGTTGCTAAAAGAGTAGATCTTAAAGGTCTCATCACAAGGAATATGGGGCACCTGGGCGGCTCAGTCTGTAAAGCGTCTGACTCTTGATTTTGGCTCCAGTCATGCTCTCACAGTTCGTGGGTTCGAGCCCCGGTCGGGCTCTGTGTTGATAGTGCAGAGACTGCTTGGGATTCTTTCACTTTTGCTTTTGTTTTTGCTCTCTCTCGCGCGCGCGCGCGCTCTCTCTCTCTCTCTCCCCTCATCCCCTGCTTGAGCTCTCTCTGAAAATATATAAACTTAAAAAAAAAGCAGTTCTCATCACAAAGAATAAAAATTGGTAACTGTGTGTAGTGATCAATGTTAACTAGACTTACTGTGATCATTTCACAATATATACAAATATCGAATCATTACATTGTACACTTGAAACTAATATAATGTTATATGTCAATAAGTTTAATATTAATAAAACACCCCAGAATCTCTAGAATAAGACAGTCTATTAAAAAATTTAACAAACAAAAAAAGAAAGAACACCAACATTTTTAGAGATAAAGTTTGCAGCTTAAATCACTTAGGGCAAAGAATAAGTACATGTGTATGGAAAAAGAGAAAAAGGATGATTAAAATGTTAACATTTGGGAAATCTGGGTCAAGGGTCTATGAAAGACGAATTTCTTTGTACTATCTTTGCAACTTTTCTCTAAATCTGAAATCATTTTGTTTCAAAAACTACGCTATCTTTATGAAAAATAACAGCTGTGCTAACACAAAATATTGGTTTCAAATGAAGAAATAAAAACCAATAAAGAAATTCTTTGTTGCCTATAAATTTGAAACTTTTCAAAAATCAGTACCCATGCGGTGTGGAAAAGTACTGACTTGAAGTATGCCTTTTCATATGCTGACGTTAGGAATACAAACTGGCACAAACTTTCTAAACAGCGGAATGCCCATAATTAAATGCTTTTAAAATGTTCATATCTTTTTATATATAATTTTTTAACATGTTTATTTTATTTCTTTATTTTTAGACAGAGTGTGAGCAGGGAAGGGGCAGAGGGAGAGAGAGAAAATCTCAATCACACTCCACACTCAGCGCAGAGCCTGACATGGGGGCTCAATCCCACAACCCTGGGATCATGACCTGAGCCAAAATCAAGAGTCAGATGCTCAACTGGCTGAGCCATCCAGGGTACCCTAAAATGTTCATATCTTGATAAAAGTATCTGACAAAAACCTACAACAAACATCATTCGTAAAGGCAAAATCTTAGACACAGTCCCTTTAAAAATTAAGAATATGACAAAAAGTCCTACTTTTAATGCTTATTAACATTATTATTAAACATTATCCTGATGAATTATAGCCATCTCAGTAAAATAAAAAATAAACGAATAGAACATATTGGATTGGAAAGAGAAGCAAAATAGAATTTACAAATATTACTGCCTACACAGAAAATTCAAAAGAATTTATAAATCACTTGAATGATAAATGTTAACAAGGTAGCTGAGTATAAGCTTAATATACAAATATCAATTGTATTCATAAACATCAATAAACAGAAAATGTAATTTTTTAATTAAATTAAATTTTTTAAATTAAAGGTTTTTAAACCACATTTACAACAAAAGAGGCACTACAGATTTAGCATAACAAATACATGTGTGTATGTGTATATATATATGTATATATAACTTTTTTCAAAGGCATCAGAGAAGACCTAAATAGAGTTATCCCAATTTTAAGGCTGGAAGAGTCAATACTATAACGATGTTAATTCTCGGAATGCCTGGGTGGCTCAGTCAATTAACCAAAACTTCGGTCTGGCTCAGATCATGATCTCACCATTCGTGAGTTCCAGCCCTGCATCGGGCTCTGTGGTGACAGCTTAGAGCCTAGAGCCTGCTTCAGATTCTGTGTCTCCCTCTCTCTCTGCCCCTTCCCCGCTCATACTCTCTGTCTGTCTCTCTCTCTCAAAAACAAATAAGCATTAAAAAATAATAATAATCAATGGTAAATAGCAATGACATTTAAAATGAAAAAGATGTCAGCCCTCTCCATAGTAATCTAAACCATGAACAAAATCCCAATCGAAAACCCAACAGGGCTTTCTGAGGAATTAAAACAAGCTGATTCTAAAATATATATGGAAGAACAGAGTTCCAAATACTGCCAACACCCTCCTTATAAGAAAAGTAGGAAGACTCGATCTTGAGGGTAGGATCTGGGAGAATGTCCTACCAAATATATTCAGGCTTAGAACTCAGCTATAGAAATTAAGACAGGATGAGGTGCCTGGCTGGTTCAGTCAGTTAAGCATGCAACTCTTGGTCTCAGGGTCATGAGTTCAAGCCCCATGTTGGGTGCAGAGATTAAATAAATAAAATGTAAAAGAAATTAAGATAGGGTGGTCTTGGCACAGAGATAGACAAATTTGCCTTTGAAACTGATGTGAGAGCCCACAAGTAGACATACTTCAATATCCCTATGGCTCCACACTCACCTACCCCTTCAATCTTGGTCTCCACACAAAATCTTTAGAATAAGTTACATCATGTCACTGCTTTGCTCAAAACCCTCAAATGGCCTCCCACATTATGAGTGAAAGTCAAAGTCCACATGAGTCACAAGGCCTTTAAACTCCCTTCCTCTGACATCCAACTATTCTCTCCCCCTTGGCTCACTTCACTCTAGCAACACTGATCTCCTTTCAGTTCAATATATAATAATAATGTTTACTTTAGGCCAAATTCTTATTATCTGATTTTTCATTCAATATTTACAAATAATGTTTTTGCAAATTAGAAGCAAAAGAAAGCAGATACTATACTTGTTTTAGAAAACTTTAATGGAATAATAAATTTTTAAAGTACTACTGACATTTATGGGGCACCTGGGTGGCTCAGTCGGTTAAGCGTCCGACTTCGGCTCAGGTCATGATCTCGCGGTTTCTGAGTTCGAGCCCTTCATCGGGCTCTGTGCTGACAGCTCAGAGCCTGGAGCCTGCTTCAGATTCTGTGTTTCTTTCTCTCTCTGCCCCTCCCCCACTTGTGCTCTGTCTCTATCAAAAATAAATAAATGTAAAAATAAAAAATAAAAAAAATAAAGTACTACTGACATTTAGAGAAAATGTCACAATTTCAGAAAAATATTTTTTTTAACATTTGAGAAAGAGACAGAGAAAGAGGGAGAGGGAGAATCCCAGGCAGGCTCTGTGCTGTCAGTGCAAAGCCTG